TTTGAAATTGAAGAATTTTCTTAGTTAGGGTTCAAAGATGATTGCTGACATTAGTATAGTATCATTTTTGGGGAGGGAAATTAGGCAAGTAACCAGCATTCTAAGCGTTTGTCTAGGCGGCGCTTAGGCGTTATGCTCTTATAGACCGTGGCGATTAGCGCTATTATCGTCTAAAATATTATGGTATTATAATAATAAAATAATATAAATTTTCTTATATATAAATCGTAATATTCCAAATATTTTGATATAAATGATGAATATAAATACAATATAAATGTTCTTATTAATAAATTATGTTATATATGTATATATATAATATATTATGTATTTTTGTAAAACGTTTAGACCACCTATTGAATCGCCTAGGCTCCGATTAAGCGTTTTATGCACTAGGCGCTGGATCACCGCCCTTACAACTGTAAAAAATATATATAGGTAAGTAGCAGAAAATTTTAAAAAATAACGAAATTACCCTTACAACTCTAATTAAGATAAATATAAGGAAATTTTTTTTTTCAAAAATCTTCTCATTATTTAATCTCTGTAAAATTACTCCTACACTTATATCTCTGCAAAAATTTAGATTTGCTCTCGAAAAAAAATTTTAAGATGACAAAACAAAACAAAAATATGTTGCTAAAGTTAACTATTTAATAACATAATTAACTATTTTCGAAATTACTTATTCAATTATCTCATAACATTGTTAATTACATCACATTTGTAATTATCTAAAAACATAGTTATAGTAATTTAAAAATATAGTTAGCTATTTTCATTACATAGTAATCTACTCTAATGATTTCATCACATAATTGACTATATGAAATGTTGTTGTAATAGTTCCTTATTTAAACAAACATAGTTAACTACATTCATAACGTAGTTACTTATTATTGTTTGCATAATAAAAAAAAGCAAACATAGTTAATTATTGTCTGAAACATAGTTATCTATTATAATAAAAAAATAATATATATAGTAAACTATTATCATAAACATAGTTATTTATTATACTGATTTTCGACCATAGTTAAATATGTCGATCTTCAGCGGCATCTCAGTTTACCCAAGAAATGGATGACAGTGGGGAAGTTAATTGAGGAGAAGAAACATCATCTTAATCCACTATTGAAGATTTCGCTCCATGTGAACGAGTTAAACAAAGTAATTGAGAAAGAAAAAGAAGCAAAAGAATAAAAGAATTGCGAAACTCAATAAAAAGAAAAAAAATAAAAAAGAGGAGAAGAAAAAGGAGAAAAAGGGCCATGTCTACCGCTTTTTGACGATGGAATCGTCGATC